AAATCTTCACAGGCACAAACACACAGCTGCATTATACACACACACACACACACACACACACACGAGAGAGAGAGAGAGAGAGAGAGAGAGAGAGAGAGAGAGATGGGGCGGACAGACAGACGGACTAACACATTAATCATTAATTCTCCACACTAGTTTCTCTTCCAATATGCATCAGGCAGAAGACCAGCTTGTGTTCTATATGGAAAAGCTAAGTACAGAGAAGAATGTTTACAGCTGTATGGGTGAGTGAAATCTGTCTGTATTCTTTGAATTTCTTCCCCAGCTTTGATATTTCTACAGCTAGCTGCACCTGCTTCTATTTCTGATTTAGTCTTTAGCTCCCTGCATACCCGCAATAGCCCAGATGAATCCTGCGCCAGCTTTCAGTTCCTTGTCTCTCTTTTCAAGACATCCGGGTAGGGAAATAATTCTCCCTATATTTTTTAGGGAAAACAAACTTAAAAGTCCTCATCTCAAACCACCACTCTGCATAAGCCTGAAGCTATGCAGAACCATCGCTACATGGGGTTCCTCATGTTTATTTTAATCGTATATATGACTCAAATTATGGGATCTGCCATGTTTTCTTCAATTTTTAGTATAAAAATTGAGATCACACTATATAAATTGATATTTGAACTCCTTTTACTAATATGTCATAAAAATTTTACTGTATTATATATTTTCAAAATCACTAATGCCCTAATGAGTTTTTATGTCTCATTTTTGCCCAAAAGTAAGTCCTCAGGTAAATAGGGGAAGATAGATCAGAATTCAGCACTTGCAGTACTAAGGAAGACTGCAAGAAAGAAGGTGGAGATGTCTTACAAAACAGAGGCAGGACAGCCAACCAGAGACTAAATGTTTAGATAGGACAAACAAAATGTAAGCCCATAGGAAGACTCCATGAATAGGCATAGTCAAATCAAACACACACCGCTTAAGGATCCTAGGAAGAAGACTGGTGTTTGTATTAGCAACACCAAATGTTCCACATCACAAAAGGAAATGAGAGAGAGAGAGAGAGAGAGAGAGAGAGAGAGAGAGAGAGAGAGAGAGCCATAAACACAAAACCCACTAAACGAATCCATAAAGGAATGTTAACTGGCAATATAGGCTAACAGTTCTCACCAGTATCCTTATGCCCAGGGCCAATTGTCTTCTCTCTGTTAGAGTAAATCAATCTGACTGGTGGTTATTTTAATCCCTGCTTTTAGGTCCCTTTCTTACTCCCCAATCTTCCCCTATTTAAATGTGATCTAGAAACAGCACAGGTGTTTGCAGGTGTCACCAATCAAAAGTGGAAACAATCCTACAATTGCCAGCTCTGGTAGTTGGACAACTGAAGTACTTTTTTTTTCATATATTTATTATTTTTTCTTATTTTACATATAGACCCCAGTTCCCTTTCCCTCCTTCCCTCCCATGCCTCCAGACCCCCACCCTCCATCCCATCCTACCCCCATTCCCCACCCACTCCACAGGGAGGGTGATGCCTTCCAGGAGGGATCATCATAATCTGTCAAGTCATTTGGAGTAGGGTCTAGGCCCTCCTTCCTGTCTCTAGTCTAAGGAGTATCCCTCAAAGGGGAATGTGCTCCCAAAGTCCTTTTGTGTACCAGGGATACATACTGGTTCCACTATCAGAGGTCCCTTAGACTTCCCAGGCCTTTGACCCCAACTAACAATCTGAGCAACAGTGAAGAGGCTACTTAAATGCCCTTCCCGATAATAAGATTGATAATTAACCTACATCCATCATAGAGCCCTCATCTATGGAAGATGGAAACAGAACAGACACCCACAGCTAAACACTGAGCCAAACTCCTGAAATCCAGTTGCAGAGGGGGGGCGATAACAAAAGGTATCAAGACCAGGCTGCAGAAACCCACAGAGGCAGCTGACCTGAACAAGAAGGAGCTCATGGACCCCAGACTGACACTAGGAAACCAGCATCAGACTGACCCAGACCCCCCAACCTGGGTCTCAGTTAGAGCATCTGAAATACTTTTACAAATATTACTTTAATGTTGATGAATAGATCCTGATGATGTCTAAAGATGTGCCATAATTGTCCCCTTTTGTCCCTGTTCCCATCTTTTCCCGTTTCCTCATCCCCTTCCCTCATTTTGCCACTGCCATATCCCATGCTGTCAGCATGTGGACTACAGAGGAATTTCACTGGAAACTGCTTGCATGGCTTTTGAGCCACAGTGAAAGTTGCTATGGAAATGTCAACAGAAACAATGGTTATAAAATGGAAAGCGCCTCTAATTTACCAACTTGCATAGTTAATGTACGATAATTTTTCTGCCTCACCATAAATCTTCATTATGCTTTAAGCACACCATCACATTAATGTACCATTTCGTGTAGGAGGGCATGTTATTAGAATATTGCAGCAAGTCCAGAAGAGTTACATAGGGACTACACACAGAGAAAGGATGGTGACCCTGTGTCGTTTTTAAAGACTGGTTGGTTCTACAAGATCACAAAATAAATCACTAGAAAGATGACCATGCTGAGGGAGGAGAGACAGCAAGGGATGGGAAACCTTGCTCTGTCTGTCATCACGCAATTTCTTCAAAAACCATCTTTTCTTGGTGGTAGTAGATAACTGAGAATCCTAACATTAAACAAGAGGGAGTGAGAACCTTTTGAGCTCTCTTCCAACTAAACTACAAACTCTGTGGGAATACAAAAAGCCAAGCTACACCTGAATTAAATGCCAAAGAAGGGTTGGTGAGGAAAATCATAACTCAGAGTACAGCCAGGAAGGAAGCCTGTGGACCATGGAGGCCCCCAAAAGCAGAAGGACGTGTTTAAATTGCCCCAGCTTAACACAAAACAAATATTCCTCAGTTGAGAAATAGATAAAGGGAACAAATTATTGCTACATTCAACCCAATGGCTGAATAGCAAATGCCTTATGCTATGTGAAAGAAACCATAATTGGGACTTTAGTATTCTATGATCTCATTTATTTGGAGTCTTAGAAATGCATAATGACCGGGATGGACAGCAGCATTTATTAATAATAAAAGGAATTAAAGGCAGGGAAAGGCTTGACTACAAATGGACAGCTACAAAGAAATGATTATTTTTGTATATTTTAGACTATACCTTCTTAATATATGTATATATTATATCATATATTAAAGGAAGTTATTAGAATAGCTTACAGACTATGGTCCAGGTAATCCAAAAAGGGCTGTCTACCAATGGAAGATTCAAGAATCCAGTTCAGATGAGGCTGGATGTTCAGGCAGGTTTCAGTATATGGCCAGAATACTGAAGAAGACTCTAATGCCAGTGAAGGAATGGACTTGCTAGCAAGAGTGAGAATAAGCAGGCAAAGAGAGCAAGCCTCCTTCTGAGTCCTTTCTACAGGCTGCCAGCAGGTGTGGCTCAGATTAAAGGTGGATCTTCCCGCAAAAAAAAAAAAACTACATTAAATGTGTATCTTTCCATCTCAAAGATCAATATTAGAAGTGGGTCTTCCAACTTCAAATATTTAATTAAGAAAAAAAATTTTCAGAGGTGTGTCCAGCCATTTGAGTTTTAGCTTAATTCTAGATGTTGTCAAGTGGACAGCCAAGAATAGCCATCACATGGAGTATGTATACATGTGAGTGAAGGTGTCCTCTCAGAGGCCAGAGAAGGGTGTATCACCTGGAGCTGGAGTTACAGGTGGTTGTGAGCCGTTCAACATGTGTGTTGGTACATGAATGTGTACATGTCCATGCATGTGCAGATGGGTGTAGAAGCCAGAGGTCCATGGCAGGGACCATCTATCACTCTCCACAATGTGTTTGAAAACAAGATTTCTCCCTGAACCCAGAGTTCGCCAGATTGGCAAGACTTGCTAACCAGTGAGCACCAGGGATCCGTCTATCTCTTCCCTTCCAGCACTGGTAATGACAAGGCAGGTTTTCCTTTTTAAATTTCATGTGCATGACTGTTTTTTCTGCATGTATGCCAATGTAGCAGACGTATCAGTACCCACAGAACCCAGAAGATGGTGATGGATGCCCCTGGGACCAGAGACACAGGCAGTACTGGGAATTGAATGGGGGTCCTCAGGAAAAGCTTTTAACTGCTGAGCCGTCTCTCCTCTCCCACAAGCCCAGCTTTTTATGTGGATTCTGGGGATCTGAACTCAGGTCCTCATACTCGCGTAGCAAGCGCTTTTACTAAATGAAAACTGCCTCCCCCTATTGAGATTTCTACTTAATTTAAGAACTATTAGTTCTAGTCATATTTTGCACATTTTTCACTCTGAATCATCAATAAAATTTATCTGCCCACTGCCCTCCAGGAACTCCTCAAAGTTGTCCACACATAGTGAATGCTTTGTTCATTTAAAAAAATTAGACCACATTGTAAGACTATTTTGTCTTAAATATAATGGAAGTAACAGGATTTCACGCATGTGCTAACTCAGAACTATAAGCAAAAGAGTTCATTATTAACACTTCATACACTAAAATAACTTTTTAAAGAAAATCTGAAATCTTGATAAATTTTTCCTAAAGCAACTCTACTGATGGGTCTGTTAACTAATTGCTTGCACTGACATATTTACAAACAGTGAAGGGTTTAGCTGAACTCTGTCAGGCAGTTTCATTTAAAAATAAAATCCTCTTGGTCTTCATACATCTTGGAGGTAGTCCAGAAATATACAGAATAGAACAGTATTGCCCATGTCACCAATATATAAACTCTAAAGACATTTAAAATTCCTCTCCATTGCATAAACATTTCCAATTCTACATTGCAGGTGTGACTACATAGTCAGGTTCCACTTCTGAACTGATGTTTAAATTAACAAACACTGCTTAATGTTGTTCTACATATATTCACACTAAGGGGAAAATCAACTCGTGACATTACACGACATAGGTTCTTCTCACAGTGGCCTGAGAAGTTTGTCAGTATCTGCCCTGAGGTCTGCGAGAACTTGCTGAGTAAAATGATGAAGATAAATTTGAACATACCCTGTCAAAGAGTGCAAAAAGTTGTCTCAAGACATCTGAAACGGGTAACTTTAAGTATTCTGCGAACTCTTCGATTCCAATTCTGCCTCCTTTTGAGGAACTCGCAATAGATGCATATTCATCCAAGTGCTTCCGAATGCCATCCCAGTCTAATCTAAATAAAGAGTGGCAAGTGTGTTATTAGTTCTAAGTCACGTGTACATTTTATGACTCACTTTATCACTTTATCTAAAGGAAAGTACTTTATGTTAAATTTTAAAAGAAAGTGAAAATAAGTATTTGAGGGAACATTTGAATGTTATGACCATTTAATTTTTAAAAGTTTATCAGTACAAGTGACAAAAAACCCAATTACTGGAAGGAAAGAAAAGCAAATACAAGGAGTGTGATGGAACAGCAGGTGACCCAAGAATTTTAAACTAACATTATCTGGAAAACCAACTGTTGCACATTCAGTTGCTATAAAAGAAATTATAAATATTCTTTCAACAAGCTTTCAGGATGATAATTCATAGTTCACCGAATGTTGTAATTGATATTAACTATTAAAAGTCAGAATGATAAAATACTGGAAAGTACGCTATGCTTATAACATCCGTTTGCTTTGAAGAATTAAATATGTGATCTAACATGCACGTCTACAAGCAATCTTAATGGCTGTATCACTTTTCAAATCTACAAAATATTGTGGACATAGTTCTAACACAAAAGCAACATTTTATCGTCATCTAGAAGACAAAAATAGTATTTTCTATGTAATTTATCATAATATATTTCCATGTCAAACTTTGAAAGAATAACTGGTTTTACAGGATTCACCTAGGGAGGATGCCAATAGCTATCAGGTCAGTAACTTCATCAAATTCCTAGTAAGAATAAGAACAGAGTTAACTATAATCAATTATTTGCTGAGGGTCACACCAAATAGCCAAACTGGTGACACCAAATGGTTCAAATTAGATCACAAGTGCACAGAGGGGAGTTTTTGCCTTAACAACAGCAAAACTAAATAGGTGCTCAAACAACAACAACAACAAAAATGTAGGAAGGTGGAAGTCACTACCAAGATGACTCATCAGGTAAAGGTGCTTGCCACTAAGCCTGATGACCTGAATTCAATCTCTGGTTGGTGGGAATCAAGGTGGAAAGAGAATTAATTGACTTCTGCAAGTTGTCTTCTGACCTCCACACATACATTCTAATATGAATGTGTATGTGTGTGTGCATAGATCTTGAAATATACTTACTTCAATTTCCGGCTAATCTTAGTAAATTCTACCAGTCCAGCTTCCATAGGCAATGTTAGCTGTCCTGCTGAGATCATCAGCCTGCAGTCTTCATAGGTGTGGTCCGTTACTGGTATTGCCAAAGCTCTAAAAGCAGTAAGGAGAAGACATCCAATGAAACGTTCATGATTGTTGACTAGTCCTGAACTGGCGAGCAGGCAATGTGTCTGAAGAGGTGTTCATGACTCCTCAGATTCTCTTGTTTGCTCTATTTCCTGGCTTCAGGCACAGAAACTCCTTCTATACTTTAGGCTTCTGTGTAGATGAAAATTCCTATTTTGTGTTCTAACTAGAAAAAATTAATACTTTATTAATAGTAGCATTATAAATCACACAACATAATATCTGTGCTGTGGATCTGAGTCCCACCCTGTTGCCATCTTATATGGCTCTGGGAAAACTGCTTCATAACCAGAGTCTATTGCTCTCCTTCCCTCGGGGTTGCTTTGAGCACAATGCCAGATAACATGTATGAGGGGCCCTCACACCATGTGATGGGGAGCGCATCCTCTGTGCTAATCATCGCATTTCTGTCTTTTGTACTTTAATACAGGGTCTCAGTGTGCACTCCAGGCTGGCCTTGATGTCACCCAGCCTCCCAAGAGCTTAGATGAGCAGGCACAAATGGTTTTATCACTTATTTTCCCACCCCAGTCTCATTACAATAAAAACCACATGAAAGGCAAGGCAATAATTTTAATTCCCACTTCATATATGAGGAAAAGGAGCTCAGCGGTAGAGTGACTTGTTCTCTTATTCCTTATGTAAGGCTACTATTCACCCCACTCATATTGCAGGAAAAGAAAGTTGATTGTTTTAAGGTATACTGTGGAAAGGCAAGATAGCTGATACAAACTCTTTCCTAGTTTTTAGACATAAACTGGCATATAGTTAAGAAACAGTGCTTTTACACTGTGCAAAAACAACATAAAAACATTTTTTTTTTGCAGCTGGTTTAGAAATTAGATAAAATAAGCATACACAAGTGTATTCAATAGCAAAAAAATGTTTCAATAAACGTTTATCCTATTTTGAAAACAAATTTATTCTGTTGTGAAGTAAGGCGTATGAGTATATATGGGGAAGCAGCAGATACTAAATGTGGTCTTAGTTAAGTGATAAAACATCACGACCAAACAGCGAATTGGGGAGGAAAGGGTTTATTTTGCTTACACTTCCTGGTAACAGCTCATCACTGAGGGCAGTCAAGGCAGAAACTCAAACAGGGCAGGAACATGGAGACAGGAGCTAATGCAGAAGCCATGAAGGGGAGCTGCTTACTGGTTTGCTCCTCCTGGCCTGCTCAGCCTGCTTTCTTATAGAACCCAGGACCGACAAGCCCAGGGGTAGCACCACCCACAGTGAGCTGGGCCCTCCCACATGAAACAGTAATGAGGAAAATTCACCACAAACTAAGGAATGCTGAGAGGGGAGACAGAGTCTTCCCCAGGGATAAGGACACCAGTTGGTTATCTAACATCAAATGATCAATGCTGAAAACATGAACATAAGTAACATTACTCAGACTGGTGTTTGTATGTATGTAGTTAAGAACACATGTATACATACATGTAACAATTAACAAAAAAGTGAATTTGATAAAAAAGAAAAAAGGAACAAAGGAAGGAAGGGAGGAAGGGAGGGAAGAAGGAAGGGAAATAGGGCTTGGGTGGAGGAAACTGAAGGATGGAAATTATATAATTATAATAATCTCTAAAAAATAAAAGAAATAATTTTTAAAAATCTTCGCACCAAAAAAGAAAAGATAGAAAATGTACTATAGACTTGCCTATGGGAAAATCTCATGGAAGCATTGTCTTGATTGAGAATCCCTCTTCCCAAAAGATTCTACCTTGTGTCAAGCTGACATAAAACTAACCAGCACATAGTCAAATTCAGAGTTCCTATTGAGTTCTTACTGAAGGGGTGGGGGTCGGCGGGATCAGTGTCTATTAGTCCCCAACCTCCCACAGAAGGAAACAGTACCCGAGGGATGATGTACACCAGGAAGGCCCTAAGGTTGCCTGGGTGGTTGCATACAATAATACATTCCTTCCTTACAATTCAGGGTATTTATCTAACATACTCGCCAGTTACAACTGCCTTAAGTGCAAGAAATATTTACCTTATGTTGTCCATTTTTAAATGCTGCTGTAGCCATCCTTTCCTATAGACAACTGTTTTCCTTTTCTGTGTATCTTTGCACAAGGAAGCCTTTTCATTTTTTGATGGTATAATCATTGATGCCTTTGAAACAGCCAGCCTTGGACAGCTCAGGGGATGGAAAACTGGCCTCAGAGAGGGTGCCTAAAACCACCAAGGCTCTGTAATGACAGGCCAGCACTGTGGAAGACACTAGCTGGTTTTGCAAGTGGAGACACATTGCTATCAGTTATGTAACTGACGATGTCCCTTAGTACCATTGCACCTTCCATATAAGTTCACTCATGAATGGGAGCCATGGTGAGGGGAGGTGCTTTAAGCTATATTAAGTAGCAATAATTTTCAAATTATTTATCAGTTAGAAACTCCAAAATATACTTACTCTGCCATTAGATTCCGAACTCTACTGGCAAAAAGAACAGGATCATTCTTTTCCTCGTCACTTGGTGCTTGAACAGGCATAAACTGGAAGACAAACACATCTTTTCCACAGGATTCCCTTAGACCTAAGACATTAAACACTAAATACATTACATTAAATGAACTATCAACATATCTCAGCCTTGACTTTCCTAGAGCACATGTTACCTGTCACGGGACTGGGCTTGGTCGTAGGACATGAGCCTGGCTGTGCTACCCTTGCTAAACTGCCTCGCCTGTTCTGGAAAGGTGGCCATGGTCACCTGCTAGCCTCACTGTGATGCTGAAGAAGACTGATGCCCAGAATTCTGGAATGTATAGTGCACCAGTGCCTAACCACTTACCTGCAGAGCTGGATTTTTTTCTTCATCCCTATTTTGTGTGGGAAAGGCCTTACAATTTTTATAGTATTATTTATTCCATCCATTCCAATGTCAACAATATTTTAGTTATTTAATTGAAAACTATGTTTTGTTATTTTTTTCTACTTAAAAAAATTAAACTTCAGAACTGGCTTGCTAGTCTTTTGTCTGTCATACTTTTGTTATTGTCATTTTGGCTTTTTAACTTTAGTCTCCACCTAACATTGACACCTGACTTGTACCATCCTTGCTTCTTTAACAAAATATATATACCTGTGTGTGTATGTGTGGACTGTGTATGTGTATGTGCACAAGTCATGTGGGTGTATGTGCTCATATGTATGCATGTGCATGAAGGCCAGAGGCCAACTTCAGGATGTTCCTTCGATTGCTTTCTACTTTATTTGAGTCTCTCAGTGAGCCCCAGGCTCACTGGCTGGCTAGACTATATACAAAGAACTCCCGAGGGAGTCCCCTATCCCTGTTCCCTCTCCCCAACAATGGGGTTATGAGGTGCTCATGCCATGTAGCAGTCACTTAACCCACTCAGCAGCCTCTACACTTTATATTTATGGTTTTCTAACACTAACGAGATAATAATTCCATATTCAAATGATATAACTTTTCAGATCTTACAATTATTCCAGACAAGATTATTATGACCTTTCTGTCTAAAGAAGACACACATCTTAGTAGAGTAAAACATCATTACCACCCCTCATTCTAAGTACAATTATAGGCAGCGTTTAAATGCTTAGCTCACCTACCCAATATTATAGAATTCACATGGCCCAGGTTCAGTCCAAGGCCTGCCGGACTTTATTTTCTCCTACCAAACCATTTTTTTTCCTGGAGCATGACAGCAAGGAGTAGGAACTATTAATCTTGAGTGGAGGTGGGGGCCAAGGAAATGTAGCCCTTGCGGCAGATGGTGGCTGAGGAGATGGTCCACCCAAAAGAGCTAATTCTGCTGAGAATTTCTACAGAAAATCCAAATCCTTGATCATGGCTTTCAAAGGATATGAGCCATTTTGCCAGTTTGCTTGTTTACTGAAATGTATCTATGGTCCTGGGACTAATCTATGTGTTTCATAAATATCACTTCATTAATTCTTATCTGTATCATAAAGAATTACAATTTACAAAGATCAAATGACTCAAGATATCATGACTTGGATTCATTCAGCAAATATTGTTTGAACATAGACCTCTCATGTGCCGGTCACTGCTCCAAGCCCTGCAGATTTGGCACTAAGGCCCCTCCCCCTCAGGGAGCTCTCCATGAAGTATGGCAGGTATTTATCATACAGTGAGCTAAATCAACCAACAAGAGCCACCTCTCTTTACTGCTTTTGTGTGTGTGTGTGTGTGTGTGTGTGTGTGTGTGTGTGTGTGTGTGTGTTGTTTTTAATAAGGGGCATTGTAAGTAGCTCTCTCAGCTCTGAGGAAAACCCTACCATTTAATATGAAATGTTAGCTTTTTAACTTATGATGAAAATGTGACTTAAAAGACTAAGTAATACAGCCAAATCCAAGCATAAATGGCAGGGCTAGAACTTAAAGGGACAAAAAAGGATTTGTACAAAGAAATGCCACGTTTTTTCAGGTGGACCTATATTCAAATATTGTTAAGCACGCTATGAATCTTGGGACACTGGTGACTCAGATAAAGTTTGAGCAAAGCAGTGAGACAAGACAAGGCCTAGGTTCTTTTGTTTGCTCTATTTTGTGAATTGGTGTTTTGTCTACATATATGTCTGTGTGCCACATGTGTGTGTTGGCCACTGAAGCCAGAAAAGGACATTAGATGCTCTCAAACTGGAGTTTTAGGAGTACATAAGCTGCCGTAGGGTGCTGGGAATTGAACCTAGGTCCTCTGGAAAAGAAGCCAATGCCTTTAACTCCTGAGCCTTGTCTCCAACCCTAAGGTCTGAGTTTTTGAGCAACCACTTAGGTGGCTGTGTACCAGAGAGGAATAGGTTGGGAGAGAGAGGAAGAAGAGCCTGGAAGATTCTGCAATGGTCCTAGGAGAAACCCTGGGACTTGGAAGAGGAGGAATGAGGATGCAGAGCTGGGATACAAGAGACATTTTTGAGATAAATGTAAAGGACTTGCAGGATAAAAGGCTATGTACCATTTTGTTCTTCATGTTTATTTTATTAACTATACAAGAAGCAACAGCACTTTGGAGAGTGGCCCTGCTGTGTGATCCAGGGAAAGGCATTTAGCCTTTTTTGGGCTTCAAGTCCTCTGTCAAATGAACAACTTTGACTTCATAATCGCTATGGTCCTTTTTAATCAGAAGTCTCTGCTAAGCACCTAGAGTGGAGAAACCAAGCAAGCCACCAGAGGTCTCCACATCACTTAATATATCCAGAGCAACAAGCTAACAAGCTGCCAATCAGAGCTACTAAAAGGCCCCTCCATCCTAGCCTGGTAAAATCAACTACACTAGCATAGTGTGAAATTCAAAAGAAGAAAACAGGAGGTTGAAATGTTCATCAAATCTCTAACAACAATATAAGGAACTAACGTTTTAAATTGTCAAACAATTCTTCTGCTTAAAATAAAATAAAAAAAAAAAAAAAAAAAAAAAAAAAAAAGCCAGCGAAGCCAGGCGGCAGTGGCCTTTAATCCCAGCACTTAGGAGGCAGAAGCAGGCAGATCTTTGTGAGTTCCAGACCAGCTTGGTTTACATGAGCTAGTTCCAGGACAGCCAGGGCTACACATGGAGAAACCCTGTCTTAAAAAAAAAAAAAAAAAAAAAAAGCAAGCCAGTGGCGGTTGTGAACTCAGAGAGAGGTAGCCCATAGGAACTTTGTTTCTGATCCACTGGGAGTTTTATCGCCTGCCTCGGCCCTATAGCTCCACTCACCTCCCTGCTTCAATATTTCCAGTTTTACAGTGTGCTTGATTCCATCTCATAGCCTGTCCCTGTTTAAAAAAAAATGTCTGCCTCCCATTTCCCAACTTTTGACTTTGTTTTTTTTTTTTTTTTTTCCTCGGTGTCACCACTTCTCAAGCTATAAACTGCATACAAGATGCAGGGAAAACTGGGTGCATTGGCCACATTTATCCAGTGATAAGGATCAGGCTTCCCATCAACACTGAACACCAGTAAAACTAGTTTGTTCGTGGTTTCATAACCACATGGGGCACATGACCTTCCCACTAACTATTGAGTAGAAGAGGAAGACTGGTAAGTGATGGCATGGTGATTGTCTTTCTTTTCTTTTTGTCTTGAAAAACAAAAGCACCGTTAAGTCAACCCTAACAATGCAAGACTGTAGTTCCTATGATTCCTCTTCTAAATCTTCAGAGAGAACGTGTAAAATAAAGGGAAGGGTTTTATCACACCACTTGGTGCTTCGTTCCCAGTGGAAGAGAACCGCCGGGTGAGATGGGAAGTAAAAGTTAACACTTAATGAACGTTTACCACATAAGTAGCCTTATTAAATTTCACAACCCCATAAAAAGGCATTATTGTCCATGTTCACCAGTGAGAACATAGATTTAGAGAAGCTGAAGTAATTTTCGCACATACAAGCAGGTAGTGAAAAATTGGAACAATCTGGTGTTTTTTATAACACTCATATCTACTAATACTTATAAGTTGCAGAATTATGTCAAGTTCCAGAACAAAGTTGCTTTGTTGGAACAAGTGTACATATGGACGGTGTGTATTTATGTGAAGTTGTAAAACCTGGAATTTCTAAAAGGCCTGCTTTAGATTCAAAATTACAAGTAATTCAAGATACCTAAATATTTAAATAAATTATACAAACATACAGGCACATGTCACATGCAGTGTAATACTGTGTTCAGCAATGGGCTGACGATACTATAAGGTTACAATGGAGTTGTTTATACATGTTTTTAGACGTATAAGTATTTATCATTGTGTCATAACCGCCCACGCCTTTAACACAGTAAGATGCTGAACAGGTTTGCAGCTGAGAAGCAACAGGCTTTACCATACCGTCTAGAGAGCCTGTGTGTGAAAGAGCCTCTTCCATTTAGATTTGTACAAGTGCAATCTACAATTTTTACATAAAATGCATTTCTGTGGATGTACTCAGCTGTTATATAATACATGGTTGCATTTGAGCATCCCTTCAGTAACTGTTCTTTGAAGACATTTTAAAATGTTATATAATACACAATAATCATCGTGATAATCCACCCAAATTTCACTTTTAAAAGTATAAAACTAATACCATATTCTTACATAGCAAGTATTAGATTAGGTTTCCTCAGTGTTGAAGGTATTTTAGTAGCATGTTTACAAAAATAACAAAAAAATTTCCACTAATTAAAAAAAAAAAAAAAAAGGGTTGCTTCTGACCTGTACAGACATCTGCAATTCCAGGGGCAAAATGACCTGAGACCACCAACCAAGCTCCATGGAGGGCAGCTTTGCTCTGCCCCAGAAGTTACAATGGAAAGGTCTGAGCCTTGGAAGCAAGGCCTGGATTATTAGTGTCTGTGGTAGGGTGTGGCCATACTTAGTACCCGAAAGGCTGCTGGGATATAATTCTGAGTTATATTCAAACAGCGGAGAACAAACATTTTTAAATGTCATTGTTATTAGGCACAGGCACAGTGGTATACATCCTTAATCTTAGCTACTCAGACCCTGAGAATTGCAAGTTTGAGGCCTATCTGGGCAGCTTAGCAAGATTCTTTCTTAAAACAGAATGAAATATGCTGGGGGGAACATTAGTAATTCTATGGTAGAACCCTTGCCTAGAACATGTGAAACCTGAGGTAAAATTCTCAGTACCATAAAATAAAACAAATAATGCAGCCAGGAGCTCCACGTGTGAAAGAACTATAAATCCAAAATAAGTACAATAAAAACAAGAATACCAAACTTAAAAGTCCATAAATTCCAGTTCAGCACCACAATCCAAATACATCCTACTGATCCAACTATTTTCAACAGGCTTCATTTGTGAAGTTATAGAACAAAGACTACATTCTTTCCTTTGCCAGATGGAGAACACATTTTTTTTTTTTTTTAAGAAATAAAGTCATGACACAGAAAGGAAATGTGGTAATAGCAGTCAGAGGACAAGATGAGGAACTTATGTACCCCTCTGTAATGGAGTTTCACCACTGACACGTATGCTAGACAGGAAAGCACAGCTGTGTATACTTCCACATCTGGAGCTACATCTTACTTTGGCTAAAGAAAGGTCCATTTAGAGGAAAAGATAATGATGGCATGTGGTGTGTGTCGTGTGTGTGTGATGCATGTGTGTGTGTGTATGTGTCCTGTGTGTGTGTGGTGTGTGTGTGTGTGTGTATGTGTGTGTGTGAATGTGTGTGCGACAGCTTCTAAATCTGCAGAGGCTACAAAGCTGTTTTAAATAAAGGTCTGTTGGTCTTTTGTAGAAAAAGAAAATAGATGTAGACCACATGAGCAGTTATTAAAGAAAAGAGAGCCATGCTCAGGGCACTTAGGGACAATTGTGGACTTGCCCATACTCTGTGGAAGAGTTTTGGGGTCTAACAGTTCAAAGGCATGGAGAAAGACCCCAGTTCACTGTGTTTACCTCAATGCTTCCTGAACTTCCTAGGATACAGATTAGACTCTGCCCCCCAGCTCCCACCAAAACAACATATAAATGTTCTGATATATTTTATGACTATGCCGATAGAGGCTAAGCTGATTTTAAAAGTGGATAGGTGTACATAATCTAAAAGATATCTTCCAAGTGGCAGACAGCATGTAAATCTTCAAAGAATTCACAAAAGTTTAAACTCATTTTGAAGTCTGATTTACTACTGCATATTACTTGATAGTTACCTATATATGGTTAAACAACTAACTTATCCAGCAAGTCAAAATGGTATTTTAAATACTATTGTCCTGCTCCTTAAGCACAAACCTCCACTCAGAATTCTGAAGTTCACATAGCAGTTTAAGGTATTCACTGTTTAATCCACAGACAAAGTTCGGACAACCAGGCAAGAGGCTTAGGTCCCAATATTTTAACCTTCACACTTCAGTCATGACTCTGGAACCAGTTCCTAGGGTCTGAAAACTTAGGTTCAAATTTCAAAAATGTTCTAATTATTCACTCACTTCCCATCTTCCCCTGCAACTCCAAGATTGTCCTGTGGATGATGGCATGAACCACACAGACCTTTTGAGCATTCCCAGGTACAAGGGCACATCATAAATGGAGGTCTCTAAAGCTGGGGTCTCTTGTCACATCTCAAGTGTTCTCTCTTTGTTTTTATACAACTACAGCTGACCCACCAGCTGTCACTGCTCCTTCTGTCAGCTGTGGGACATTTAGCTAGGCATGAGTAAGCATTAAAATGTAGAAGGGTGAGAAGTGGGAAGGTAAATTTCTCCTGCCACAGTGATTTGCTTGTTGGAGGTTCTCAGATGTTACATGCATTTGCTGGCTTGACTCCAAGAGTTAAATGTTGACAGCAGGGACTTAGAAACACAATCTAGAAGACCGGGAGTAATTTTAAAGTGCTGGATTCAGAGGAAAGGCTGCATTTGAGTGACTTACCTCAACTTCCACCTTTGTGAAGAGCTGACAGAAAGTTAGCACACACAGCTGGATGCTGAAAATAAGAAGAGAGAAGGGTATTCTCATACAGCAATGCAAGCTATTTATACACAGGCACACGCACTCCCCCATCACACTGCATATGTATTTTTATTTGCATTTAAATATGCTGCCCTTTGGGTTGGACAGCTACTCTTGTTATTTAAAAAGTAAACCAACAAATGCAATCACTGGGCTGCTTCAGTGAGTTTAAGGAATTGCTCAAACAGAGCAAACTTCAAGGTTACAGTTCCTTCATAGCACATGCTCACAGTCTGGAGAGAAAGTCCCCAAGTCTACTTCAATATACGGGAATGTGGATGGGAGACGAAGCTGAGAGACTGAGTGGCTGCACTTCCAAAGATCCCAGGTTCCGTTCCCAGCATCCATGTGACAGCTCACACCTGTCTGTAATTCCAGTTCCAGGGGATCTGATGACCTCCTCTGACCTCCCTGGGCAACAGGCATGGGTATGTGCACAGATGTACATGTGGGCAAAACACCCAAACACATAAAATAAAAATGAGTAAGTCTAAAATAAAATTTAAAGGTACATAAATGTGTATACAGGAAAACACCTTAGTGCAATGTTTTTATAAATTCTTTAAGTAACAACTTTTAAAAGTCACTGGGATTTTTCTTAAATTGTTTATCAAAGTTGTCTCAGTAGTAAGGTTTGAGCTATGCAGAAATGTCCTGAAGACTTGCATACTTTATTGTGAATCTAGACAAAGGGCTTCTCCAAGTAGCTGATCAAGCCATCAATGACAGTTTTTGAGACAAATGTCCTTCCTTACAGCTTTTGGGGGAATCACTTAGACTCTGAGTCAGATTTCTGTAGGATTTTCAGTTTAGCCTCTTTAGACAGTTGACCCAGAAACCAGACAGTGGATTTGGATTAGACCATATGTTTAAGAAAACCACTAGTCTTTTTTTTTTTTTCTTTTTTTTTTTTCTTTTTTTTGCTATAAAGAAATGAAAGCATGATTATCTATAAAATGATCTGAAGGGACTTACTTAAGTAAATTAGGAATTTCACCAAGGAATACTGACTAGGATGGATGTGGAGTGTACAGTAGCTTCAGCAGAGTACCCACTGGCAAATCCGCCAGGCTCCAGGGCATAGTTATAAACCCGAAGTCATACAGACAGCTCTGGTTACACTCAGTGAGCCACAAAACAAACAAAATGGCATGGATGGGGGGAGGGGGCTTGTAGGGAGGAGGACAGGTTAGTTGAGTGGGAAGGAGGAAAGAAGGGGGTGCGCAGTAACATACTCAGAATGCATCATGTATGAACAAATTTAATGAACTTCATATAAAAAAGAAATTTGGAGGCTTGATTTAGCATCTGTAGAGTTAATTATGATATATAAAAATGACTGTTGCCAAGTCTACCATTTGAACAGGGAAAGGAAGACTTGTTACTATTTATAAGCTCGAAGCCACACCAACCCACCTTAACCATGGTCAAGTGGACTAGCTTCTATTGAATATTTTGGATGTTTTCTATTATTATGTTGTATCTGAGTGCTTTAACCACATGTATGTCTGTGTACCATGTGTGTGCAGTACCTACAGACACCAGAAAGGTCATCCAATACCCTGGAATTAGAGGTGCAGGCAATGATCATGAGCAGCCATGTGGGTGCTGGGAATTATACCTGGGTCCTCTGCAAGAACAGTCAGTGCTCTTAACCACTGAGCCACCTCTCCAGCCCAAGAGAACAATTTTCTACCATTTAGATGGAGCCTTTTGTTAATATTTGGGCAGATACAAATTTTGTTCTTAAAAGTGTGAAGGTTGAACGTAACAGGTCACTAAATTTGCCTTGTTCATCCTACAGTGAGACCAATTCTTCTTAGAAAACCATCTTTCATAGATCTGTCACTTCTCTAAATGTGTTTCCCATGTCCCTTCTCCCTGGGGTATCGCTTTGGTGAAATAGCTCTGTTTTGATGAACTAGCAACTGAGAATATAGATTTGAAAGTAGTAGATACAGTGCTACCAGTAGCATTCAAGAGCTCAGAAGATCTGACAGGTAGACATAGGACTTGCCATTTGCAAGGGACATGTGCATCTGTACATAACAAATATGAGCTTTTAAAAGAACTTGAGTCTGTTTCTAAGTCATGAGATGTCTTTGACACTTGTTTTTTTTTTTTTTTTTCTCTTTCCCAAATTCACTTTCCATCTTTTTTCTTTTTCTTTAACTTTTATTTTTCTCTTCTCTTATATATTACAGCCCAACTGCATTTTCCCCTCCCTCCACTCCTTCCAATCCCCCCCATAAAAAAAAAAAAAAAAAAGATATCTCAGGGATATGGCAACCCAGTAGTAGGAAAAGCGTCCCAAATGCGCCCAATTTTATTTTTCACCTTATCACGTACTCCCCAGACTAGAAGGTTCTATTTCTAAGCCACTCTATGTTCTTCCCCTAACCCCACTTCCAGAAAGCTTTCTTCTATTTGACCTTTGAAACCACCCAGACTGCTGCATAATGACACTCATAGAGATCAGTGAACCCAAAGCCATGCTCCACACATGAAACCTAGCCTAATGGATGTGCCCAATGGATGACACACATTGGAATGTCTAGTGGATTCCACTGAAATTCCAAACACTATGTTTCTGAGATGGTCATACTCTACTTGTTTCTCTGAGTAGTTTTGCTGTGCAAAAGTTAAAAACTAGACATTCAAAATTAGTATCAGCATGAAACATGCATCTAATCTGAGGAATAAATTGACTCCTTGAAAAGTTGAAGATAACACATTACCTACATTTCCTTCATCATGTGTTGTTTCTAATGCTATCTGCTTAACTTCACCTACCAAGGACTGAAGCTCCAAAGAAATATACATATTCTATATGTACTAATGTTTACTCCACCCACCCTTAAGTTACCTTTCCTGGTTCAAACTTACTATCTCAGAGAAATTTCTGCATACACAGTAAAGGAGAAATACACACAATCTCTACACACACACACTTTCCAAAGTTCAAGAGAGTATACAAATGATATGTAAAGAAGCCGGAGTGTGCTAGAAAGCAATGATGATTTCTTCCAAAATACTTCCATTGGCAATGTTATTTGAATTCTGTTGTTATCATCATCAAAACTGGGTAAGGCCCTGGGGAAAACTTTCAAATCCAGACTTGAATATGGTTCTCACTGAAATTTAAGTAGGCTCAAATTTTCTAGTGGGAGTTAAACAAAAGGTCTTCCAAGAAAGCTGGATCCTACATGCCCTGGTCTTTGAGGAAAAAAAAAAAGTTTCATTCACTTCAGCTTGCTCAATGGTGAAAACATGCCTCACCTCTCTAAGAGCTCTAGAAACTGCTGAGCCCTGTGCTTTCAGGACCTGGGAATGGAACAGAAGTCCTGCATAGCCATTTCCCCAACACAAACAGGCAAGCCACAACAGTTCCAGGTTCTGAACTGATGTAATCCAAACTGCTTAAATCAACCTCATAAAATTTGAACATATACTATGGAATGCTAAATCTACAGTGGGAATGAGAGTGAAAGCTAGGCATGACACAAACCAGGGCCCTGGAATGTTCCTTACAAGCTGCTGGTTAACAAAATTATGACACTGACAGATGACTAGTATTCTTCAGATGGTATTGATGGACATCAATCTCCCTGGGCATTTAGGGGGCAAGAAAGTGATACTGCTCCTAGAGATATGGCTAAAAGACTTAAGGCTGATTAGAAATGTTTACTTTTACAAAAATAAGATTTTTTAAAGGGAGGAATAAAATATATATCTTTTCTTCATTAAAATAGTTTGCATAAACTATTAAACTATGTAAGTGACTTACAATGTATATCCTTGCCATGTCCAGGTCACAGTATCCTAAAACAACAGAAGTCAACTGTTAGTCTAGACTGGAATAGACACCTGTAATCTTAGCAGATGAAAGATATAGGCAAAAAATCAAGAATTCAAGGCCATTTTATTTTTTTAGCTATACTGTAAGTTCAAGGCCAACATGGGCTACATGAGACTCTGTCTCAAAACATAAATAACACAAAACAAAAAAAATTAAACATCAAAATAAAATAAGGCTTTGTTTAATATTAGTATTCATATCATATCTTTCTGGGACAAAAAAGCAATGTATTAAAAACAAATAGACTCGTAATTATTTAAGATCATGAAGCAATGCACAAATTCCTGAATTACACAGATAACATAGTTACATAGGAAATATTTCCCACCTCTATGTATTTCCATGGAACAACTTCTGAATTAAAAATAAATTATACATGTCACTTATTTTTCTCCCCAAACAAGCATATCTAAAAAACTAATTTGTATGCATGTGTATGTAATATATATAAAATGTATCAATTATCAAAAAATGATTATCTGGAGGAAAATAAACAAAGCAGTACATAGTGAAAGAATTTTAATATATGAAAATTCAAATATATAGGCCGAGGCCATATTAGAAATTTAATAGATTTTATTTCCTTTGTTTTCTGGAGATGTTCAAGTTGAGAAGCCAGCCATGAACAGAAAGCTGGTCGAGAGCTTGTCATCTTAAATAGTATGAGTAACAGGTACTTCTGCCTTTTTATAACCCTCTGGTAAGATCCTTTCATGGATGAATCAGTGTCTGGGGAAGTACAGTGCAACTGATGTCCAGAGGATAACAGTGTGACCAGCTGATGCAGAAGACACTGTTTCCTGGGGCAGCCTTGAACCTTAGAGAAGAGACAAAGTTCTCTACAACAGTGTCTTAATTCATCACGCTACTCCCCAAGGCTCACACAGCCACTACGTACCGAGCCTGTACTTACTTCCTCCCCCAGGTGGATCCTCTACTTCTGGCCTTCCTCCGACTAATCACCTCTGTATCTGAAAAAGTTGCCTTGTCAGCCCCATGAAAATAATAACTTTCTGCTGTCGAGTATAATCAGAGCCTCAGTCTGAGACTTAACCTGTCCATCACAGAGATGGCAGAGTACAGCAATGCCCTCCTGAAACTAAGTTATACAGAACAACATTTGGTACTGTTATCAGAGATTGGTGGTTATCTTGCAAAACTAATTTAAAAAAGAAAAGCCAGTGCAAAAATTTTTAGAAAAGCCAGTTGCAGGTGGCATCAATCTGCCCAGCTGCCTTCAGCAAAATTTAAAATGTCCTACAGAATTAGCTATTTGGAATGCAGAATTCCTTCCCTTACCAGCTTGTTTGGGTATCGGAGGAGGATGGGCTGCACTGGAACTCCTGGGATGAAGGCTCCTAGAACCACATTGAAATTGTATAAAGTGGTTTGTATATGAACAAGAATTATGTAGTAGTAAAAAAATAAAAGTATAGATATACTGATGGCTTAAGAACAAACAAAATATGAACCATTTTGAAATATTTACCAAAAGTAGTTACTACAACTAAATAAAAAGTTAAATGCTATCCCTATATCCCTTAAGCATACATTTATTCACTGGTTTCTTTGATAAAGAAAATTAAAGATATTTATTTCAAAACAACTCTTTAATATACATATAATTTTACCATTTATTTTTATTTTGGGGATTGCTTTCATTTCCTAAATACACACTATCCAACAACATAAAAAAAAGCAATGACAAAGTCAAGGAGAGAATAAAATCAAAGAGAAGATGAAGAGTAAAATGCTGAAAGCAAGCTATTACACTGGCTTGAAGGGAGTCCCACCTTCAGTGCAAAGCACACTGACAGCCAGCACTGACAGTCTAAAAGTGTTACAAATGAAAGTCACACTCATAGCTGCCTTCTTAAGATAAAAAACAAGAGTGAAGGCATGTAAAAACATGAATGATGCTAAGGGAGGCTGCCCATTGGATGACAGAAGACTCCAGACCCCTGTGGGGAGAAGAAAAATGTCAGTGACTTTTGAGCATGCCCATACATAGATACACATATACACAGAAAGACACACATACAGACACATACACAGAGAGACACACATAGACAAAAATAACAACACACACATACACACACACACCACTGAAAGGAAAAGGCTTTGTTTAAAAAAGAGCGCAATAGGTTCTGAGAATCACAGCATCAGAAAGGTTTTGTCAGGAAAGAAATGCCAGGAGTGAATACTGTGCAACACAATTGATTCATTTGAGAAATCTCTATTACTATATTGTTACAATACATAATTTAATTTATCTCACCTGGTTTAAAAGTAATCAAACAGGAGCGATTAGTACAAGTACCTTCTGGGAAAACTAGTATCTTGGGAGAAAAGGAATAAATTTAATATTTCAGTCTAATTAATAGATTACCTCTTTACTCTCATATGACTTCACCGACACTGCTAATATTTCAAAAACAAAAATTAAATAAAAGACTAAATCTTGGTTCTAATAAAAAACTGGAGCCAGATCATTCCATCTTCCTCTAAAAGAAGTATAGTTTAAAAAAAAAAAGTGAAATTTGACTAGTCTAATAATTAGAAAAAGACCAAAGCTTTAAATAGATAGTTTTTGTTGTTGTTTTTCAAGATAGGATTTCTCCATAGCTTTGGAGCCTATTCTGGAACTCGCTCTGTAGACCAGGCTGGCCTCAAACTCACAGAGATCTGCCTGCCTGTGCCTCCCGAGTGCTGGGATTAAAGGTGTGTGCCACCAATACCCTACAATAAACAGTATTCTTAATTTATAAAATATGCTGCTTACTTCTGCTTCTTTTGCATCTGTTTCCCAAAGTTTTTATTAATGATCTGAATAAATTTAAGGGAAGACATAAAGCAAAGTTATGCCCTTAATCAAGAGAAATCTTTTTGTTATAGTTCTCTCACTAACTGATATTAATTCCCAATATATATTTCAGGGGTGCCTTGAGAACAAAGGAGGAAAAGCCTGTGACGTGCCTTCTGCTCAGTTGCCTTGGTTATCATGTGGCATAGAGTTCGTAGCTTGCTTTGTTTATCCTGAGGAAGTATTTTAGTGGTTAATATGCTACTCGATGTTTTTTGTGAAAGACATATACAAGCATTGCAAGCTTCCCCATTAATTAAAACACAGATTGGTTTTCTGAAGCTTTTAAAATTTAGTCATGAGTTAACTGCTAAGCACATAAAACCAAATCAAATCCCTGTACTCAAAGCAGTTACTAATATTTGATCTACAGTAATTAGAGAGGGAAAACACTGGCTCAAACTACAAACTAAAAATTAATGAGTGGGCATAATTCCATCCCCTAATTTATAAAATGGGTTTCCTGTGACAAACAGACACAATGGCCAACAGTTTTAATTGGCATGAATCCACAAATCGCTTACTAACAAGGAATGCTAACAAAGTGAGTCAGAAATCTCAGGGAGGAAGAAACATTCAAAATAGCCTAGCAGCTCCAATGTTTAAATTACTTCTACAGTCCCCTCCCCTCACCAAGTGGCTGTGAGTGGGAGCCTGGGAAAGATTTCAAATCAGGCCACCTTTCCCCTGGACAGAGAAAAAGTTCTGCAATTGAGAAAAAAAAAAAAAAATGATCTGAAATCTACCTATTTGTTATTGCTTGCCTACTAATCCTAGACCTACTTCTTGGATCCAAAGAGAAAGTCTAACTCAATCGTTTTTTAAGCCACTCCTCATTTGCCTTGGTTCTAAAGCCTCTGGGGTGGATGTGCTTGAACCGGGTGTGTTACCACAGGTGGGCCAGCCATTACTGCATTGTCCAATAGAGATCAAGTGCTTTCATCTAGGCTTGCTTCATTGTCCAATAGAGATCAAGTGCTTTCATCTGGGCAAAGACTCTCAGTGTTTGTTGGAATCATCCCTGCTTAATGCAATACATACTGACTTACATGGGCTTCCAAGGGAAGGAGTGCGGAGTTGGTGAGGCCTGACAGGCTTACAAGCTATTTTGATATGCCTTTGAATGGAAAGATCTATTAAATGTAATTGAGAAAAGATGTGGTACACATAGAATAGTTTTAGCCAAGTGAGTTAAATTATGTAAAAATATTCATTAGTATGAATCAAAGTCTGAGAATCATTTGTTATAACACAAAGAAAATATCTGACGACTAAAAGGGGATAGTGTGTGCTTGGGGGCAGGGTCTTCTTCATGCTGACTGATTTATTTATTCTGTATCTAATGTGCTGCGGACACATGCCATGATATCGCGCTCTCTGTGGACCCAAATGAATAAATCTACAGACATACAAAAGCTCTCAATGTCTATAAATGACGAGTTACTGCATCTTACCTGGGGCCATTCCCCTCCTGATGTTGCTCGTTTTCTTATTTCATTTATTGTGTTTTTTCGGGAATCTGGGTCAACCCGGGACACCAAAACTGGCTGCACTGCCCGTAACAGTCCTTGAAAACAAACAGTCATAACCCAGTCATTTTCTTAAGGTACCGTGGCATTAACATTGGATAAACTGAAACAATGTTTACAGAAAATAAAAATGTTAGCAAATCTAAAAGAATAATCCTTGTAAACTCAAATTCAAAGTTGACTAGTTAGATTCTAATTTCAAATGCAGAGACGGGTATTATTTTATTAATTTTACAGATGTTAGTGGAAAGAAATGGGGCATAGAAGGAAGAGGAAAAGCAACTTTTTTCTCCCTAATAGCTTTTTTGGGTTCTTTTTGTTTGTTTGTTTTGCTTTTTTATTTTCTTAATTCTTATTTCTTAATGGATGTTAAATTGTGAGACTAAGCTTCAGACTGTCATATTTGATTTTAGGAAGACCCTTAAACACTCAAAAAATGAATTGATAGCATACATGAGTAGAGGGCAGTTATGATTGATTTTACTGAGACCCTTCTAAAGAGAATGCTTCCTATTATATCCAAAAATTACCTTCAAGTGTTTTGCAACAGAAATGTGTAGGGAAAAGCCACGTTGCATAAAGCACAGTCGCTGCACATTGAAGAAAATGAAGTGTCTTTAGCTACAAGGACTACTATTCTTTCCAAGGAACACTGAGACAACATATGGCAACATTCACACCCACTCTTTCATCGCTTGGTGTTTGTGGTAACCTTGGGACAACCAGGAGCAGTTACTTGGAGACTGAGTCCTCAGGGAGAGATAGCAAGCAGCGTCTGGCAGGAAAAACATTTCACTCGCTTCATTATGTTTTACGGCAGGAAGCATTTATTGTTCCACATCGTAATTTTCAAAGAGTTATACAAATGTCCCTCAGGGAGCTATAGGGGCACAATAATTTAGAAAACAGAGCTGGGAGAAAAGACTTAGCAGATTTATCAGCCTAATACCATAAAGGGAAGTACGTGAAATAGCATGTGACCTGTGTTCCTCAGATTCTTTAAAAAAAAAAAAATAATAAGCGTGTTTAGTGACTGAAATCTGATTTTCTTTATGACACATAGAAACACAAAGATATGATGGCATAGTGATAAGGACAAGTTTCCTGAAAGTCTAAAAAAGATAAGAGGAAATGTCTAATTTTTTTTTTACACTCACTCTTTACATAGAGTAGTTCATTTAAGTAAAAGGAAATGCATTTAAACTATTTTAAAGTTTTATTTTTTAACTGGATGGGGATTTTGCTCAGTGTTAGACTACTTGCTTTGCATGTACAAGACCATGGGTTTAATTCCCAAGAATGAAAGTAAGTATACAGAGAATGACTACATATGATTCTTTCAACTTAGAGTATACACCTGGTAGTATTTTAGCTGTTACCCTACAGGTACTTACTGCCGACCAGTGGAGTCTGTGCATTCTCATTCCGTGACACCAGAGAAGGCAACCCAGCTACAACACAGGCAATGCCATCGAAGAATGTTGAATGGGGGGCAACAACAAAAATGGGTGCTTCCGAGGGGCTTGCAATCTTTCCTTTCACGGTAACCATGAATCCCATGGAGAAGAACATGGCACGACCCAAAAACTTCAAAGCTGGCTGAGTAACCTTCCTTCGAAAACAATGATAGAAAAGACATTATTTGGCTTTGCTTTACTCTAAAATACAGTGGGATAACCACAAAAAAAAAAAAAAATCAGAGAACCCCACCTCCACACATGAGCTCTGGGGAGTACTACTCTGTTAGAACTACTTTCTGTTGTCAACTTGACACACCTGGGAAGAGGCCGCCTCACCTGAGGAATTGCCTTCCAGATGGTTTACCAGGTAAGTGAATTTGTCGTCAATTATGATGACCTAAGTTCGATGTATAGGACCCACAAAATAAAAAAGAACCAAGTATGACCTGTATGTACATTTGTGCAGTGGCTTATGTCCACATGCATGAATATACATATTCATATATATACAATATAGACATATATGCACACACAAAACAATGTAAAAAAAGATTTTTATCACACTATGCAAAGAACTGTGCTGGACATTTAAGAGAAGTAAGGTCCAGTCTCTTGAGTAATAAGCTTGAATAAATAGGGACTCTGAGTCCCAGGACAGGCTCCAAAACTACACAAAGAAACCCGATCTCAAAAAAAAAAAAAAAAAAAAAAAATCAATAGGAAATAAAAAATATTCTCATACATATTTAGATTCTTGCTGTGGGATAATGCTCTTGTATACTGTAAAGATTTGTCACTTGTATTAGTTTAGTAAAATGCTGATTGGCCAGTAGCCAGGCAGGAAGTATATGCAGGGCTGCTAGACAGAGAATTAAGGGAAGAGGAAGGTAGAGAGAAACCATGTAACTGTGGGAGAAGCAAGAAGCCAGAGGAGCATTGCCTGTAAGCCAAGACCACGCAGAGATACACAGATTAATAGAAATGAGTTAGTAATTAAGAAAGAGCTACTCAATGAGAAACCTGAGCCATCGGCCAAAAAGTTTCTAATTAATATAAGCTTCTGTGTGTGAATATTATTTGGAACTAAACGGCTGCAAGACTGGGTGGGACAGAAACTTCAGTCTACAGATTCCTGAGCACCCAGGACACCTCAGATATGAACAACTGTATGTTATGGAGCGCCCAGACATGGCATGGCTCTTACTGTCTTGAAATAAGAACAGTTGTGGTAACGCACACCTTTAATCCCAACACTCAGGAAGCAGAGACAGGTAGATCTTTGTGAGTTCCAGGCCAGCTTGGTCTACAGAGTGATTTCAAGGAAAGCCAGGGCTATACAGAAAAATCCTGTCTCAAAAAAAGAAAAAGGAAAGACAATAGTTGTAATTACCCCAACAAGACCCTCACAAGACTGGGCCCACTGTACTCTCTATGGATAGGTGAGAGTGCTCATAAGACACCAGAGGAAGGAATGCCTGAACGCGTCTTGTTCAATGACAGCTCACTTATATACCCTTCCCTGCAGATGAAGGAGCAAAAAGCAATCACTGGGGTAGAAGTGGGGGTTACACCTTTTCTGTGGTGTCCTAGCCTCCCTTAAGATACCTGTGCTCTGTAGGTAATTGTCCTTTCTGCAGGTAACCCCTCCTCCATCCTCCTGTAAGATCCCCAGTAATACTCAATGGTTCACTATGCTAGACTTGGCCGGAATAATTTCTTTGGCCTGTCCTCGGTGTCCTATCTGAATGAGTGGACATTTGTTCACATCTCTAAATGAAACAATGCAGCTTTTCAAGGAATGTAAAATAAAATATATACAGTCATCCTTCAGTAATTGTGGAGAGCAGACTCCATAGCCTGAAAAATAGCCACATTCTTGAATGCTTAAATCTTTCAAATAATGCCATGTGACCATTGCTCATAAGTTATACACACTGTCCTGTAGAGATGTAATCTTTTTTTCTGAGCATTTTGACCCACAGTTGGTTGAACTGCAGATGCAGAACACACTGCTAACTATATAGCACCTTTAAGTATTGAAAAGAACTGCAAAAAACTGAACTTCTGATTTTCTGAGCCAGTGAATGGCTTCTAGTAACTAGCCAGTGAGCAAGCTTCTGTAATGCTGACCTTACAAGAATTGAGACCCAGTAAATCAGGGTACTTTCCAGAGGGTACAATAAGTGCTGAGCACCATTAGTCTAGAGGTGAGCTCTATACTCACAGGAACAGAAAGTACAGTTCTCTGTTTCCATACTTTAACTAGAATGGTGCAGCTTCTCATAAACATATTTCAAGAAGTCAGACCCCCTAATGATTTCTGTTTAAATGCTTTTTAAAATGCCTAGGCAAAAGGAGCTGTGTAAACCTGATGGCCTGAGTTTGAGCTCCAGGAAAAAAAAAAAACTCTCTTAAAGGCAGATGCAGTGGGGTGTATCAGTCATTTCAGCTGTCTATGGGGGAATGGAAGGTGGAGATGGTGAACTAGCTAGCATGGACTATGCTGTCTCAGCATAAACATGACATGGTGTGCCTCAAAACAAGGGGAGTTGATTTGTATCTCTGACCCCCACATATGTGCTGCGGCACACACACACACACATACACACACACAATCTTTTAAAAATTTTTAGTAGCTAAAAACTTGTGCCACATAATAACTTCAAAATGACTTGTATGGGAGGAAACAGAGATACTGACTTAACTGACAAAGTAAAAGTTTTCTAAAGCAAAACCATAAAATATCAAAAAGAACACTTTTCTAGTTTCTTTCTTTTTTCTTTTTTTTCTAGATTCTTAAACTATCCTTTCTCTCATCCTAGATTTTTGTAAGCCAGAAACTATAAAACTGAAGAAAGAATCTGAAAGAAGTTTGGATCATGAAAAGCTGCCCATGATGCGTTATTTTATTCTGTGCATTCTTAAGTTACAAAACAAAGAAGTATGATTTGCAAGGCCTAAGTTTTCTCTGGGGCATTGCAAAAACTGGATTTATTTCCACTTCAAAGCAGCCTTGTTTTTGATATTCACATTGGTTCACTGGGACAAGAACCGAATAGCAAACTGCACACTTCTACTAAAAGTTGTAGAGCAGTGGTTCGAAATAATTTTGAAGGGCATTTGAGATCTGCATAAAAAGAACACACCCTTGCATATGGAAAAAGCAAGCAAACAAACACTATACACAGTTTCAGGGAGCTCATCAGAGTCCTAAAGTAAATGTTTGGATTTGCAACCTATTGGAACCCATGGAGTACCCATTAAGAAGGTCCATGTGTAACATGTATAGATGATGATAACTTGGTCCTGACAAATAGTAATGACTTCACCAGCATTTTACTTATTCTTGCCCATTCTGTTCTCTAGAACCATCCTAATTATATAATTCTAGAAATGCTAAAAAATGCAATTCCATTTGCCTTAGTACTAACATTTGAAAATGCTATGCTGAGCGATAACTAAAGTTAATATTAACCACTGACATCATTATTAAAAATAATATAATTGATCCACTTAATTTTATTACTGCAGAAAGCACATTATTGTTACCTTGAAGAAACAAAAGCAAATGTAAAAATTTGGAAAGACAAAAGAAAGTCAATCATTTTATAGCTATAGTGTTCCAGAAACAATAAGAGAATGTATTGGTCAGAGAGCATAACTGTGTCACGAGGCCCAATACAAGCAGCTAGGAAGAAAGGAAGATTGGTTTTGTAGCTCATGGCTTCACAGTGAGAGAATATGGCAGATGCTACTCACCTCACAGTGGATAGGAAACACAGAAAGGGAATATGAAAAGGGATTAGCCTCCCTCTTTCCCCAGGACACACTCCTAGTGACCTAATTACTCCAACCAGGCAAGGCTCTTCCAGATTTTCACCACCTTCTAATAATGCCGTCATATTATGATCCATCAAGAGACTAGTCCCTTCCCAAAAGCACACTGGCTGTCAACAAATCACTGAACATGTGAGTTGATTGGAGACATGCCATGTAAAAACACAGGACAGGGAGGGCTGTAAAAATGGATCAGCAGTTTAGAGCACAGGCTCCTCTTCCAGAGTTCTTGAATCAAATTCCCACACCCGCATGGTGGCTCACAACTATCTGTAACAGGATCCAATTCCCTCTTCTTGTTTGCATAAAGACAGGTCACTCATATACATAAAATAAATAAGTATTTTTAAAAACACAACATAGGGACTCTTTCAGAAACAAAGGTGAATATCTTTCATAACTCAGAAAACAAAATGTTTTAACATTAAAAAATTATACCTAGAACTGAATATTATCAAAATGTGACTGTGTGATAATTTCTGCAAAAATCAAGGTCATTTCTATGCAAGAAACAAATATAAACTATTAAACTGATTAACAGTAAACTAAAACTATTGGTCACTGAAGAAACTATCATTGAACATTTAAATTTTTGACTTGTGTAATATTTGGCCATAATTATCTCTTACCTCCTCCAACCACTCATAGGATGGGTCAGCTTTTCAGGGCAGCATGCTGTTGTAATTGCAGCAAATGGCCAAGCCATTAACAAAATTAATGCAACTAATAAAACACGAACTGGAAGCAGAATTATTCCAAGAAGAATGATCTACAAATCAAAGTTGACAATAAATAAATAAATAAATAAATAAATAAAGATAAATGAATGCTATTTAAATACATCACCACCAAACACAAAAACATAACAGGAAAGTTTTGGCTTCATGCATGTACTCAAGGATGAATTAAATACTGTCTTACATCAGACCAGTATATATAAAACACACACACACACAAACAAACACACAAACACACACACACACACACCACATGGCATTTATTTGATTTCAATGGGCTACTACTTGCTGGCATTGTAGTATTTTAATCCCAGCATTCTCCTCCAGGCAGAGGCAGGTAGATTTCTATGGCATCTATATGAGTTAGAGGCCAGACTGGTCTACATAGTGAGTTCCAGGTCAGTCAGGGCTACACAATAAGACCCCATCTCAAAAAACAATACAAAAAGTAAAAGAAGCAGTGAGGAGAGCCTTGGGATAACCTGATCTGCATATTCATAAGCAAGAATGGAGGATTCTGGTACAATAAAGAAAAGAGGGGGTCTGATTTAGGAACCAGAACAGCTTCCTGGGGGGAGTGGTATCCTGCAAAAGAAGAAAGGGCTGCCAGGCCGTTGGCCTTAGCTACTTGAGAGGCTGAAGCAGGAGGAGCAAGCTTAAGGTTGCCTAAGCTAGGAAAAGAAGAGAGCAGGAGCTTGACAGCTCTATGAGAAAGTGATTGCCTAGCGTGCATAAGTTCCCACAGTTTGGTCCCAGCAGAGCTAAACACAGAGCAAACAGGTGCTAGCAAGGCAAGACAGCTAGCTGCACTGTTTCCCAGAAGCTACACAGAAAGAAGAGCGGGGATAAAAGCATTAGTGAGTGATGGATTGTGCTGCTTCCCAGGCCTGTCAGTTATGTGTAACTAAGCAAAAGAGAACTGGAGGAGAGAATAAAAAAAAATAAGAATAAAGAGTACGTGAATAAGAACAGTAAATCATACATAAATGTTTACTTGTGTCAGGCATGTGGCACACAGTGATTCATTGGGTCTTAAATTGCTTTACCTGAAAAGAATGCCATGGATAAATAAAATCATACTAATATCAACCATTTATAAAGCCTTTGCTTCTAATCCTTATACCACCCTGCCTTCTAAGTGAATAGTCATTATGTATAATAACCTTTTCTTCTATAAATTAATTACACAATCCACAGTGCCTTCTGTATTGTCCTCTATGGGAACCTAAACCTCACCAAAGAATTTACAAAAATGGCTACACTGTTCTAGTTATCTGTCTTAATTGCTGTAGTTTTCAAGTAGAACTTCAAGTGGTAATGTGTGAGCTCTAATTTTTTCTTCTTCAACTTTCTTTGAAGATATTTCTAGATTCTCAAATTTCCATATAAGTTTACAAGAAATTCCTCAGTCTACACCCACACACCCACACACACACACACACACACACCCCCACCCACCCACACACACACACACACAATTTTTATTGAGATTGTAATGAATCTAGAGATAATCTGGAAGGACTTGCCATACTAACAATAATGCTTCCAATTCAGAAATATACTATATCCATTCACATGTCTCAATTTTTCAAAGCTCTATTTTTTGTTTCCAATGTAGTGACCACACTTACTTAAATATACTTCTAAGTATTCAACATGTTACTGTTATTACATATACAATTATCTCACTTTAATTATTTTGTAATTGCTTGATGTAAATAGAAAACTGATTTACTTTTTAAATGAATGGAATTTTTTTCAAATATATGGGTCATTCATTCATTCATTAAGACAGGATCTCAGTATGTAGCCTGACTGCCTTTAAATTTGCTATATAGGCCAGCTAAACTTGAGCTCACAGCCCTGTATCTGCCTTCTAAATGTTGGAATTAAATTAAATGAATGCACTACCATGCCCAGCCAGTTTTTTAACCTCTAATATAATTTGTTACAGCCAACAAACATATTCTGACTGTATGTCAATCCTTTGATTCTTTCAAGACTTCTTTTCTGCCAGTGACTGGTCTATTTTAAAAAGTCTTCAGTCTCCTACAAATGTCAGTTTGGTAAAGGTCTTCACCATTGTTCTTCAACTCTTTTACTTTAATAATCATCTCTGGTCTGTCTTTTCTATCAATTACTAAGAAATGAGTGTTAAATCCTCAAAGCAGATTTTTTTGTTTGTTTGTTTGCCCAGCTCAGTGTTCCACCTAACTTGCTGGAATGACTCCTTAGCTATTTTGTCTTGTAAATTTTTCCAGCAGTTGCTCTGAGGACTATAGCATGTACATTTAATATATGGCATCTCAGAATTAAAGTTAAAGCACTTCACACACAGTGCAAGAAAAATAAGTGCAAATCCATTCTTCCAGTACTGTTTATGATACTTTACATCTACATACATGTGAACTTGAGATTTTTGCATTAGTCATATTTTATAGTTCTTTGATTAAATTAAGATAAATATGAGTTTTATTCACTAATTTCCAAGTATAATTTCCGCTATTCTTCATTCTTTCTTGTGTATCCGTGCTTTGATCTGATAATATGTTTTGGCATGTTCCTAAAACTGGAAAAATATCCTTTATCTCTCTTCTTTTTTTTATTGTGGTGTGTGTGTGTGTGTGTGTGTGTGTGTGTGTGTGTGTGTGTGTGTGTGTGATATGGTACACATGTGTGGGGGGGCAAACATGTATGCTTGTGCATGTGTATATGTCCCACTGCACATGTGTGGAATTCAGAGTCAGCTCTCTGTCCTGGAACTCACTCTGTAGATCAGGCTAGCCTCAAACTCACAGAGCTCTACTTGCCTCTGCCTCCTGAGTGCTGGGATTAAAGGCATGTGCCACCATCACCCTGTTAAAATTTATTTTTATTTTATGTGTATTGCTGTTTTACTTACATGTGTGTCTGTATAAGGGTGTCAGATCTCCCTTAACTGGAGTTATAGACAGTTGTGAGCTGGTATGTAGATGCTGGGAATTTAACCCAGATCCTCTAGAAAGAGTAGTCAATGCTCCTAACCTTTGAGCCATCTCTCCAGCCTCTTGGTTCTCTTCCTACCACATAGGTCCTGAGAAACATAACTTACATAGTCAGACTTAGCAGCAAGAGCCTCTTTTTCTCTCTCCACAGTTTTTGTTTAGTTTTGTTTTTTGTAATGAGGATTGAATCCAGGGCCTCAAGCAGTGTGCCCCTGTAGCACCAGTGAGCTACAGTCCCCATTTAGCAGTTACTGGTTGTTTATTTATGTATTTTTAGTTTATATTTGTTGTTTTGATTTTTGAGACAAGGTCTCTTTCCCTAAGCCCTGGCTATCTATAACTTATTATGTAGACCAGGCTGGCCTCAAACTCACAGAGATCCGCCTGCTTCTGCCTCTTGAGTGCTGGGATTGAAGGCATGCACCATCACTGCCCTGCCCATTTACCATTTCTTATATGTAGTTCTTACATCAAACTCACAACATTTTTCCTTCTGAAACTTTCTTCATTTTCTTTTAATTTCCAAGTAATATTTTCTTTTTATATTACAGTCATTCACTTATTTGTCTATTTTGTGTGTATAGGTGTATATGTGTATGTGTATGGGAGCTTGTGTGATGTATGGAGGACAGGGACATCTTGTGGGAGTTGATCCTCTGTTTCCATCATGTGGGTCATGGGACTGAACCTGGGTTATCGGGTGTGATGGCAAGTACCTTTACATAATTTAAATAAAGATGGCTTTACATAGAGCCATCTCTCCAGCCTCCTCATTGGCTATTGATTTCTAGATTGACTTGCCCTTTACTAGTGAGTCCTAGGAGTTATTTACATACTTTGAATACTATACCCTTATCAGATATATTATGTAAAAAATATTTTCTCAGATTTTTTAAGGTGGTCAGTTTAATTTCTTTCATTTTACATGTATACATGGTGTTTGTGCTTGTTTTTATGCTTGTTGTGGGCACATGTAAGGTGCACAGGGAAACCTAAAGTTAATGTATATGTTTCCCTCGGTCAATCTCTACTTTACTTACTGGGGTAGTGTCCCTTACTGAACCCATAGTTCACCAATTTAGACTCACCTAACTATCCAGTTTGCCCCAAGGATCCTGTCTCTGCCTTATTAGTGCTGGGATTACAGGAAGTCACCACACCTGCCCAGCTTTGTTTGTGTAAGGGTTCCAGAGACCCAAAGTCAGGTTCTCATGCTTGAGTGACAAGTCACTGAGGCATCTCCTTGAATCCCTCCTCAATTTCCTGGTAGTGAGTATATTTTGAAGCACACAGCATTTAATCTGACAATACCATTTATCTATTTTTTCTGTCCAGCCCTCCCCCTGTGTGTGTGTTTGCTTATGTTTTTATTGTCTACCTAGGAAATGAGTGACTAATTCAAGGTCAGTAATATTAAAACTACACTCTCTCTTAAGACTTTTATTATTTTAACTCTCATATTTTTCTCATGTTTAGTTCTTTTATAAGTTTAGGTTGTTTTATATTATATTCAATGAATTTAATTCTCTTGTACATGTTGATCCATTTATCCCAGACCATTTACTGAAAAGACAAGTCTTTCTCCATTGAATTTCTCTAACACTCTTGTAGAAAAGTCGATGGCCATAGACATACTTGTTTCTGAACCTAGTTTTCTCTAGGGACTTTAATGATTTAATTCTCTATTACATTCTTTGTCATGTGCAGCTACTGAAGCCTCTGATCAATTTGATAAATAGTTAATGAGTACAGGAATTTGCTTTAGTGTAGGAACTAAGAAGTTTCCCAGTGCTGGTGAAGGGCTTTGCTGTACATACTGAGGTATATGTCAATGCAAGTGGCAGTTCAAAACTTAACCTCAGATTCCTGCTTATACAGATCTTACAGGCCAATCAAAGATGAGATCTTAGGGCATCTGAGGATCTTTCCAGAACAGGATCATTTTGTTCACCTCTATATGTCCAGATGTCTATACTTACTATATTATAGGCAGCAAACAGGTATTTTTGATATGAATAAATAATCCCATAATTATAATTAATCATTTCAATTCTAAATTCTGATGCAGCAATAATAATTAGGCAACTCTTTTCCCATGCCGCAAAGTAGCAAACTACCCTTAAATAAATGTTTAAAAATACATAAATAGGGCCTAGGGATGGCTCAGCAGTTAAGAGCACTTGACTGCTCTTCCAGAGGACCAGAGTTCAAGTCCCAGCATCCACATAGAAATTCATAATTGTCTGAAACTCCAGTTCCAAGAGATCCAATGCCTTCATACAGATGTACATGCAGGCAAAACACCAATGAACATAAAAAAAAAACTAAATATTTTTTAAAATACATAAAAAAAGGAGAACGGAAAAACTTAAACTATAAGCCCTATAATGAAATGTTCAAGTGACAACAATCTTTAAGAAGTCCCCAATCATAATTCAATATTAAATTTAGTCTGAACCAAGTATGTTTTATCTAAATGAGAGTATATCTGTATTTTAAGCTAGATAGTATAAACATCACATTTTATCCATGCCTATTCCATTTTTTTCCTTTTTTCATGCTATTCAAGTAACTGAAGTATCTATGGTAACATTGGTATTAGGGAGAAAGAAAGAGGGAGGAAGGCAGAGAGAGAGAGAGAGAGAGAGAGAGAGAGAGAGAGAGCGCCCAGAGCATAACCCAGACCGCATATTTTAAGTATAGCATACAATTATAGACACACAACAAAATTACTAATGCTAAGATCAGCAAACCACACTACATTATGCCACATTACTATCTCATTTAATTTAACTTTTCTTTGAGGAATTATTATTTCAATTCAATAGTTGAGAAAATGTAATAGATAGGGGTTAAGTGACTAGACAGAATAAGGGACCAGTGCTCTTTACATTAAATGTGGTTCTATTTGAGTTCTTAGAAAGAGCTCTCTATTAAAACTAATAATCTACTCAAGGCACCACAATATAAATGTTTAAATATGCCACTTCGAGTCTCCCTCCAAACTCTGAACCTAGTCAGGTACATTGTCATTTAAATATAACTTATTTGTCTGAAGTTAATCTTGAAGGATGGTTGATGCGCTTTCAAGTGTTGCAGATTACTCAAACCATATCGAGGAACTTTGTGAACTTAACTTTCTCTGAATCCTTTATCTTTCTCTTCCTCGCCCAGACCTACCTTCAACCAGATAACTGCCATTACTCTAACCACCCCCAACTCCCACCCCACCCCCCTACCCCGCCCCTGCACTTAGCTCAGTGCTTACATGGCCCCTCTAGAGAGACACTAGAGTTACAGCTGCATACAAATACAAAAACACTGCAAAAATAACCATCACTTCAATTGAAAATAACAAAAACTATGAGACAGGCAGGGAAACATCAATGTGTTTTGGGGGGTTTTTTGTTTGGTTTGTTGTTGTTTTTCCCCTGCAGAACTCAACTAATGCTGTTTCCATCCTCTATCTTGTTCTCCAATCACTAACCTCACCACAGAGGAAGTCAAAAAGTGAACTAATGGCAAAAGCTGCCCTTTGCAAGATAGACAAATTCCTTTGTGGCCATTTTTAACAGTGGCTACTACTCGCGTCATCTTTGAATCTAGGAAAGGTGCTGTGCAAAAGCTGATTCAAACAAACAAACAAACAAAAGCTCCCAACTTCTTAAATTCTTTGACATGTCTCCCAGTTACCCCTTCTCTTCCCTTCCGGTTACAGCCTGATTGTTCCTGCCCAGTTACATTTAGAACTTTACCTGTGATTCAAAGGATAGACCAGGGCTCTCAGCCTCCTCGCTTACTCTACCCAGCCCAGATGGACTCCCCTTTTACAAAGGGCATAAAAAGGAGAGAACACTGAAACCCATTCTCGAGTGATAGTTGTCAATCCTCTGTTCTTCCACAAACTGGAGACAAAGTCCCTGTCCCATCCACTCCTTCTCAGGCAAAGAATAGTCCCCTACATGGGATCTTCCTTGCTGCCATGCCTTTTCCATCCTACGACTTTCATGTCTCTCGGTCATCCCATCCCCCAGTGTCCCATCCCCCAGTTTTCACATCCTCCTGTCTGCCCTTCATGACCCTTTCCTGTCATATCCACACCATTTCCTTCCTCAGATGCTTTCTTTCTCGTACCAGACTCCACATCTCACTCAGTCTCCTCCTTCAGACTCACTATATCCTCTGATACCTCCCCCAACGGATTTCCAAATCCTCGGACAAATTCTGTCAGATCCACTATCCCCTCAGAGTGGCAGACCTATGATCTCCTCCGACCCACTGGAGCTTCAGATTCGTAATCCTCTCAGAAGCCTCCTCCGTTAGACCCACAATCCCCTCATATTCCCCTCAGACCTGCGATCCTCTTGGATACCTCCCTCTCAGACCCGATACCCTCAAGCCGGAGCCCCTCTCCGACCAGATGCCCTCAGGTGCCTCCTCTCTTGGATGCACGATTCCTCCCGTGCCTCCTCCATCCGACCACATTCCCTCCGCATCTGCGCGCACCGCGCCTCTACCTGCAGCCGTCGGGCCGCACTGATCCGCGTCTGCTGAACGAAGGGGTTGGGCACTGGCGGCGGGAAGAAGGACGCTTGGCGGGGGCACCATGGGTGGCCGCAGCCCTGCGTCCCCGACGCCTGCGCCCGGCACCGTGGCAGCTACTGCGGCCGCCTCGGCGCACCGGTTCATGGTGAATCCTGGCGCCTATCCGGAGCAAAGATGGGGACCCGGGAAGAACGCTGCTGCCCGGTTCTTGATAAAGACCCACGAGAGCCCCAGCCCCAGGCACAGCTCCAGACTTTTGCGCAGGCGCACCAGAGTCACCTAGCCACCAGCTGTCCCACCCCACCCCACCCCCGGCTCCGGACACGCCCCCGGGTGTGGCCCCGCCCTCCTAGGTACCTGCTTTCAGAACACGTGCACGCCTCTTGGAGGCACCTGCTTTTATGTAAAGCAAGGACCTGACTGGTCCTAACAGAGCTACAATAGAGAGACTGGCCTCTGCTGTGGGGTCAGGATTTTCTGTTTCATTAATCCTGTGCCTAAACCAAACCACTCATCTGTGTAATCTTCACTTGCCCGCTCTGAACCCAGGAGATTAATAAACGGAGGGTCAGCTTTGTTCATCTTTGTTCGATTTTCAGTGTTTAGTTTTCATGTAAACCCATTTGACTTGGGGATGTTTGTAAGTTGAGAGACAGCTAAGACAGGATTTCGCAGCAGGGGTGGAGTTTGTTTTACTCAAAACACAGACTAGCTGTGTGATGCGGTCTTTCGTGGGAATTGAACTATTATTTAGAAAGGGCAAAAGTAATTGGCTTCCACTGTGGATGAGGAACCTGACCCAGAGAAGGGAAATGATCAAGACAGTGACTCCATTTCACACTGAGGAAGTATGACGCCTGTCTGAACCTGCCTGGGAGGGGGAAGGGGAAGATGAGAGTTGGCCAGGACCTCAGGTCGGTTGCTAGTGGGTAGAGCCCTGACTGCCCAGAGTTAAAGAGTAGATATTAGGCCGTGGGCTAGTCACTTCACGTCTATGAGTTACTGCCTTCTCTAAGAGTGAGAGGGTAATTTCTACATCATAGGGCTGCAGCAAGGAATAATAATGCATTGTAATGCTCACAGTGAGGCACTCAAGAAATGGTGTGGAGGGAAACAGCTGAGTTCTCTCTGAATATGTAACAGAGAACCTTAATAACGATATGTTTCTGCTATTCTGTAAGCATCTCAGCCTAGAGACTCTTCAAACAGGACTGCAAATCCTTTGCTAGCCACTTGCAAGAAGGACCATCAAGAATCAGAACTTATGGGCTGGCCATGGGAGAAAAGGTGATTTCAGGCCTACGGAGATTTCTCCTAGAAATCAGGTCCACTCCTCACTCAATTCCCCAGTCCTACCAGGAAAGGTCCCAAGCAATAGACAGTAGCTGTTTCTAATGGCTGTCTGACCCCAGACAAACCACTTTCCTCTATTTCCAGTGAAGGTGATCACAAGGGCTCTTAGAAGAGGAGGTTGTGAGTTTGCTATAAGCACTATCATTAGGATGGCGATTGGGGGGTGAATCTCCAACAGACCCCGTAACTACAGCAACAGAATTGCTGCTGTATCCAGATCTTCCTCATGAAGATCAAAACCGCAGCTATGTCCAGGTTCTTCCTCCCATGGACCAGGCATACAAACCTATTTACTCCAGGGTTCTTAGTTCAGCAGCTCTGACCTTCCCAGCATACATCATCTGTGCCTTGCATTAGGCAGAGATGCACTTTTCAGGTTCCTCCTTCTGGCTGTGGGATGCTAAAACAGAGGCAGACGCTGCCACTCAATTGGTGTCTTTATTTATACTTGTTTGCCATTTCCCATGGGGAACTGTTAAAGGGAGAAGCGAGAAGGCTGAGCAGGAAGCCGCTGGCTTGGTTCTCCTCCATCCAGTGGAGGAGGTGACTGAGGATGTTCTGGAGTGCATAGGGAAGTCATTGCTATGTGGGCTGAGATGCACCATGTAGTGATGTCAGACCACCTGAGTCCTTCTGTCAGGAAATACGGCACAGTGGAAAACTGTAAAGGTTGAAGGAAATGAACAGAGAGCATACAAAACAAACAGCTAATGTAGTGCAGGCACTAGGCCAGCCAGAAGCGAAAAACCAGGTGTCTCCAGCTGTCACCTGGACACACCTGTATCCCATGCCCTGTGCCAGGCTGTTGGGCCACTAGTGCCCTTCTATGGCAGTCTCTGTTGACTCTGGAGGAGCTGTGAACCATAGAAGATCTTGGATGTGAAGAACCTGAAGTGTGAAACAGCAGGGCAGCCAAAAGGAGGGCTGCATTGAGAATATCCAAGCATCTCTTAAGATGGGGAGGAGGAGAAGCACCTAAGAGTGGTACAATCTGCACCTTTCTCTGGGCACAAAAAGAAGCCACTCTCTTAAATCTTCAATCACCAGGTAAGGGAGAGGGCTGATTAACTACAGAGCTGAAGGCAGGGCAGCCTTGCCCTTTCACATCCTTCCCCCAGGATTCTGGGCCTGGTGTGCAGTGATGATTGCAGGGCCTGTGGGAACAGGGCCAGCTCAGCAGCCTAGCCAGTCTGATTTGATGCTTCCAAACTTCACACTCTTCAGACTTTGGTTCTCCAGCTTCAGGTAATAGGCACCTTTGAAGAAGTAGCTGTGACCTGAAAGAGACAAGGAAGAGAGATTGGGCCTACCCTGAACTGGCATGGCACATGGGAGGTCTCTGGGAGTTGTCACATCTGCCTAGCATAGGGAAGAATCTTTCCAACCTGGGAAGACCCTCTGGCCTGGAGGAAGAGGAATAGCTAGGCAACTGGGTCTCCCTGTCCTTGACTGCTCAATTCAGAGCCAGGGATCGGGACACCAACCTCTTAGAGCAGTGGTTCTCAACCTGTGGGTCCCAAACATTTTAGGTCACATATCAGATATCCTGCACATCATATCTTTATACTACAATTCATAAGAGTAGCAAAATTACAATTATGAAGTAGCAACAAAAAATAATTTTATGGTTGGGTGTCACCACAGCATGAGGAACTGTGTTAAAGGGTAACAGCATCAGGAAGGTTGAGAACCGCTGTCTTAGAGCTTGATAATGAGATTAACTTAGGTAATGCTTGTTATTGGTGACAACAGAACCTTCCTGAGCACAAGCACCAAGCCAAACACTTTCATACATCAGGGGATGGAAAGCAGGAGGTCCCCAGGCCTATCAGGTTTATTAGGTTCACACAAATACTTGCTTCATTTTGTTTTTAATTGTGAACAAGTTGTCAAGCTGTAAACACATCTGGCAATGTCATATGAATATACAGATTGCTGGCCTCTCTTTAAACCTCTAGAATATCTAAAAAAAAAAAAAAACCCACAAGACTCTACTCATGCAGGTCTGTAACCATCAAACTGAGAAGCAACCCTTTCCTGCCACTCACTCGCCTCTAGTTTCTTACAACACACACACACACACACACACACACACACATACACACACACTCAAACACTCAGCCCCCTATACCCACACCCACTCAGACACACACAAACATTCGTACACACTCAGAACCCACCCTAATTCCACACACTCAACTCTTTACACCCACACACATTCAGAATCACACACTCAGACCCCCCCATTTATACACATTCAGCCCCCTATACCCACACACACTCAGATACACACACAAACAGTCACTCACACATTCGGAACCCCCACACTCAGATACACTTAGCTACTACACACATACACACAAACTCTCTCTCACATATACACATTTAGCGACTGCCAGGCACACAAACACACTCACTCAGTTCCAAACACATCTACACATGTACTCAGACCCACACATGCTTTCTCTCTCTCTCTCTCTCTCTCTCTCTCTCTCTCTCTCACACACACACACACACACACACACACACACACACACACGGGCATTCATACACTCCAGCCACCCCCCCACTCTCATTCACATACACATTGAGGCCCACACAAGCACACACATGTACATACTCACACATACACTCATGCACACATTGCATACACACACATTTTCACTCATACATGTACACACTCATATGCATAATTTGTTTTCTACTATTTCCCCTCCTGGCCTTTAGAAGTTTTGGCATCTGTGAATTCCTTCAAACAGGCATGATCCTGTTTACTCCATTTAAAACCATATAGCTCACATTACGGACTTGATAGATGTTCTGCTGAAAGTAACCCTTATTGGAGCACCTAATTATACATGGCTTTCCTTCTGTGCTAGTGAGAACTTCAGCCATGGGAACTCAGGTCTATGAGCTTTACAGATGGTAAGAGCACACAAGCACACACACACACACACACACACACACACACACACACACACACCACATTAAAAAAAAAAAACTTTTGTGGAAACAAATTAAAACCTCCTCTCAAAAGCCAAACTGACTTCATTTCCAGGACTGTAGAGAGTTGCAGAAGCCTCCCTGGGAATATTGTTTTCAAATTCCAAATGCTACCCTGTGCTGACTCTGCAAAGATGCAAGCAGCTGGGTGGGAGATCATTGCCACGGGAGTGACAGAGCATGACAAAGTTTGCCTTGTCTCAAGTAGAGCCATGCTTCTGACGGGAGGTGCTCACAGGGCCTCCCAAGAAACCCAATACAGCCTGGCTCAACCCCCAGAATGAATCCAGGGCACCAGGCCATGTTCCTGGTCCCCGGAGGCCTCCCAGCCCTCCTCTGCTGTGGCTACAGGCCCTGCAGCTGTGAAGGGGCCTTTCTAGGTCTTACAGCCTGGAGCTTGGCTGGGGCAGCAAGGGTCAGGAGACTGGCTGCCTTCCCAGCACTGAGCTAAAGGGGCTGGTTTGTTTTCCAGGACTGCATGGCTGCCCTTCGGGAGTGTGTACAAAGGAGGAGCTGCTTCCTGGCTGGGGGCAGGCAACCCTAGAATGCCAACAGTGGCCTGGACAGCTCACCACCGCCCTGCAGGTCCACAACTGCATCCAGGTTGTCAGGGATGGCGTTCCAGGAATCTGCGATGAGCTTAGGGAAACCAGGATCCATTTTCTTCTTCACCTCATTGTATCTGGTGAAAGAGACAGGGAGAAACAAATGGCCTCTCTGAAGATCAACACCCTCACCGCTGACCACTTTCATCCCCGAGTCCTAGCAAGAAGGGTCCAAAGGATGGCACAGAGTGGGTTCTGGAAAAAGACTTGGACCTTCAGAAGGGAAACAGCAGCAGC